GTAGAAGTTCCTATAATCCATGATCATACACAATTGATAGAGAACATCTATCATCAATGCAAAGCCAATGGGCAGGAGAGACAGATTTTGAACACGCTTAGAATTGTTCATTTAATGTTCTTCTAGGATTTTCTCCATACAATATAAACATGTAGTGATACAAGATAATTCAAGTATTTGGGAAAAGTCACTAGTTTTTCCTCCTCAATTTCTACTTTACAGCTGACAGGACTTTATTTGTACCATGATAAGCTCATCTCAGCATCTGGAAAGTGAGAAGTTAGAGAACTTGAAATTCTACTAGTCATTTATTTGCATTTATTTTCTTCCAAATGGGAATTTAGTCTCTAAATTTCAAAATTAAAAAAAAAAAAATCTAAACCATGAGGAAATTATAGCATACATTCGATAAAAGCTCCCAGGAAAGGCTGTTAATTTTAACCCAGGACTGGGGCTAAAAACTTCTCAAGTTGCTCCACAGCAGCAATATTGTAAGAATTGTAAAATTATTTGTCTTAGGAAACTATAAAGCCAAGTACAAAATGACCGAGCATCAAATAACCTTTCGCTCTCCTGCAGACTCAGTTAGCATACTACAGCAACAACAAAAAAAATACATTCTTTGCACACAGAAATTCATAATTTCCAAAATATTTCAACAATATAGTTTTAAGAATGTCATCTTACTGCTGGAAGCTTCAGAGTCTTTTGGCTTAAACACCATCCTTAACATTATCAATAGGCCTGCTGGGATCAACATCTAACCTGTAACGCTTGCTAAAGATACTCAAAATTATCACTGAGACTATGATGCAGGCTTGGAGTATATGTGATTTCCTTTTAGCTAGTTTAGCTAGCGCTTGCATTGTTTTATGGACTAGAACAAGCTTCCTTTCTCTAGTGTGGATTCTACTACGCTAGCAAAAACAGCAACGACAAATCATGCAGATATTGTCATGAATAAGCAGCAAAGTGCAAACAGGGTAAAATGACATTATTTCTTATGGTCAGCCAAAGAAGAAAAAGACTGCGACACAGTGATGTAAGCAGATCCATACAATTGCACAAAGCCATCATGTACTGGTCCAGAATTGGCACACATTATATATAAATATACAATCATGATAAATATACAATAACGTTTTAATCATTAGTTAATGAATTAAAACCCACCTTGAAACACATCAGAGATTACATTATATTAATAACCAAACCACATCTATTATCTTTTCCTTTACTGTTCTTTTTTTTCATATAGTATCTTTACATGACACTATGTACTCAGAGGTTTCAGGAGGTGCCACTAAGGTCCAATATGAGCAGACTCAGCGCAGACACCCGCGGGGGAAGAAGTGGTTACTCCCGTTGGACAGGCAGGAGCCTTTACTACACGAAAATGAAACGAAATGGGCCTAAAGCTGCAGAGAGACTAAAGGTTACCTCAAATAAAAGCTGCTTACCTGATTCGTGACCTGAAAAGCAAGCAGAAAACAGAGGGGAGTTAAGACCCCAGTTAGATCCGCGGGCTAAGACCTCCCCCGCTCCCTGCCCCCACCAGCCATCCCTCAGCCCGCGATGCTGAGCCCGGAGCGGCCCCGAGCCCTCTCCCCTCCGCCATCCGCCATCCTCCCGCCCTCCCGCCGGCGGCCAGGCAGGCAGCCCGCCCGCCCACCCCGCC